CTTCGAAACCTGATAATTTGATGTGAAAAAAAAAAAAAAAAAACTTTTAGCCTGTGAAAAGCATTAAAAAATTGCTTAGTTAAATCAAATATAGTAATTATTTTGTAAATTATAAAATATTGTCAAATATACATTATATCCTATTTTGGTGCTCAATTTTCTTTTTAATCCCTTAACCTTTTAGTAATTAGAATTTTATACCTTAGCTTCAATTTTAATGTCATTTCCAGTGGATTCTGACATGGCAATATCATATAGAAAATTTGTCACAAATGTCCTTCTAAATACATATATATCTTTTCTTTTCTAATTTTCCTCTTTCTTTTTATTTCTGTAAGTGTCCAAATTAATTTGTGCATGTTTCGACTAATCTCAAAGAACAATATCTGACCATAATATATTTGGTTGTAAAAAAAACACAATAAAAATTAATTTCTAAATAGGTAACTATCGTAATAAATTATATTTTTTAAACATTTACATAAAAAGAAACAAATAAAAGGGAAAAAAAAAAAGATAAAAACCGCATGCTTGCACATGTGATCATATGTATAACAAGACTTTCATTTTCTTTCTCTGTAATAATGAAAAACTTAAAATGAATTTAATAATCAATGATGTGACACATCTATATTATTTCAAATTATGATACACATGTGGTGTACCAATATATCCATTATTACTCTACATTAGATTAATTTATTTGTGGCACGTGAGCAATAAATACAATATAGTTAAATTACAAACATATAAAGTTAATGGAAATTTCAATGAGTGACAAATTCACATTGACATATTTACCAATAAAAATAATTTAGGTGTTTATCGTCCCAAGTTATATTTTATTTGAATAGATGGGAGAGAGAAAGGTAGAAAATGAAATATTTTTTCATTTTTTAGAAAGTTAAAAAATTGTCAAAATTTTATTGATGGTTAGCACAAAAGTAGATATTGATTGGTAAACACCACAGTATTGTTCTTTGCATATATATTTTTTCAATTTTTAATTTTTTTTATATCTATTTAGACATTTTTATGTCATTCCTTTTTATCCTTCTACATCACTCTTTTAAATATGTGTAGTTTCTTTTTGGCCGAATATTTTATTTAAATATATTTACAAATCTAAAATATTGTTGCTATTTGAAATTAATTGGTTTTGTTCTCGTCACAGCACTCCTGAAATTAATGGGCTAGAATTATTTTTTTTATTGATGTCTATTATTTAATGTAAAAGATGTCAAATAAAAAACATTGAAAAAGAGGAGGTTATGTGGGTGTTAGCTCAATTGTCTTCTTCCATCCAAACTTCATTAATTAATTCTCGAAAGCCTTTAATGTTCATCATCTTTTGGAACAATCCCATATGACTTCAAATTAAATTATTTTCCAACCCATTTATTCCTTTGCAAATCCCGCAAATTTTGCTTTCCTTTTTTTGGTCTTTTAGTTCTCTTAGATGCAAAATATTAAGGTGTAAAGTGTTGAATTTTATTATGCTCATGAATTGGTCAAATCAAATATCTTATATATCTTTATGCAAAATAAAGATGTCTATGTTAAAATAGAAAGTATTAAAAAGAAATAATACAACTAAGGGTTACATCATAAGAGTGAATGACCACGCACCACAATCAAAATCCGTGATAAAAATTATCCTCATTCAATGACGTTGGGGGAGAATCCTCAATTAATGCCTCCCAAGTTGCCTTATTCTCCACCATGACATGTAAGGATAGATTATGCAAATTTCTCAAATCATGTCGGCGAATCTCAATACAATAAAGATTGATAGCCTCAACAAATTCTAAATTGGTGTTTAAGTCCATCGTCGTTGCACCTCCGAAATCGCCCACCTTTTGCTTCGTCATCATCGCCTCTAGACCATGAAAGTTTTCTGAACAATGATACAACGAAGATGTAGAGTCATCCCAAGAAATCGTAGGCAGTTGTTCTCTCCAATTTTGTGCCTGATAACTATTCAACACGCTTAGATGACGAAGCCACAAACAATACATAACAATGTTATTGCATTTGATTTTGTCAGCTGCAACAACACTATCTACATCCAACGGGGAGATTCCTAACACCCGACCACCATCCACCATCACAAAAACCAGCGAGAAAGAAGGCTCCTCCCTGAAAATCGCCTCCACAAGAATAAGAGAAGGTCTCTGTTATATCTCGACTCATGCTACGTACTTCGTTAAAAAAATCATGGAAGAATTGAAACAAAACAGAGAGGAACACCCTCTAAAAAAAACTGTGTTGAATGACGAAGAGAAAACGCAAACCGGAGGATAAGGAGAGGAGGGGAGCAAACGATTGTTCACTGGCCACTCCCCTCCACGCTTTTTTCTCTAACTTCTTTTAAAAAACTCAGCTTTCACATGGAAGAGAGGAAATTAAAGATGATCGCAAGACGTTGGTTATGTGTGTAAGAAAGAATTTTCACAGAATAGAAAGAATTGAATGACTTTTCTTTATGTTTTTATAGATTTTTTTGCGCATCAATCTCTGACTTGTGAATTTTGCATTTTGTTTATTAATATTTCTTAATACCAGGTGATATATGATTTGATGTATATTTGAATAAAAAAATACTTGCCTATAAAGTTTTTAAAAACACACACACTTCTAAAACATTTCTCTATCATCTCTCTAATTTTTTTTACAAATATTCTCTCTCAAATATGTTTTTATTTTCCTTCCTCCACCTATGTTTCTCTCTAACATATTTACTTATCTTTCTAACTTAAAAAAAAATATCAGAAAAATCGTAATGGTAAGGACATTAAGTTTTGTGGCATCATCTATAATGAGGTTTTGTTCAAGTTCTATGTTAATCACAGTATTGTTCGCAGTCTAGACAACGAGTCCCGATTATAGAGATTCACTAGTGTAAGCCACACATTCGAGAAAACATGGGAAGAAATGATTGTCAAACCTGTTTTATTTTCTATTTTCTGCTGTGAAAAACAAAAAATAGTTATCTGTATAGTTTTTGTGGTAAATAAATACAAAATTTAAATTTAAAATAAAAAATAATTATCAAAGGAGCCAAAATAAAATTTACACGGCAATTGTATAATCAAACATGAAAGCACGACAAATAATTATGTATAAAAATGTTTTTTATTTTGTCTCGTGTCTTGTCCCATCAAAGTATTCTTGTCTGAATCAAATGTATCATCGCGGCATATGTTAATGATAATTCACTATCATTTCAAAACTGTATTAATCTCTGTTCTTCGATTTTCAATTTTTCCTTTAAAAAAATATGGTTGTTTAATAATTTCATTCAATTTTAGTTTCTAAAATTTGAAAACGTTTTTAAAGCTGTATGTAAATTATTATATCAAAACCAACAGGAATTTAAAAAGCCAGGTATAAATTTTCAATATTATTATAATTATTTACACTAGGATGTATTTTTTCAACCTAAAAAAGGGGAAATTTTTTTTTTAATTTTTCTCTTTCTAACATATCTACAACATGAGTATCTGACTGTAAGATTACTCTTTTTATATATAATATATTTTTTCTTTTTGTAACCTATCTTTTTTTCATATTTTTGTCTCTCCAAAATATCTTCCAAATATTAATATAATGATGAATTAAAAATTAATATAATGATAAAGGTTTGAAAACTATAATTATAAAAATAAAAATATATATTTGATATTTATAATTAAAAAATAAAATTGTGGTTTGATCGTTATTATAATTGGTAAAATAATTGATCACCATTAGAAAAAAAACAATTTTAATTTTCTACAAAAATGGAAATAGATGACAATATAAAACATGTTCACTTTCACTCTGTGAAAAAATGTATAATCAAAACTCTTTAAAAGGACAAAAATTAGAAAAAGTTATTAAAAAATTAATTATTATGGAGAAGTCAAAAGTCTATGTTTTCTTCCTTCTGGTAGACTTAGAAGAGATGCATTGAGACTTTACAACATACATTTCTTTTGGTTCTTTAAATCTTTTGTGGTCTAATTTTGGTCATATTAATCATTTAAACTTACTTTTCATTTTGATCATTAATCTTGCTTTTAATTTGGATGTTTAGCCTTTTTCATAAAGTTTTATGAAAAATTTATGCAAAAAAATTTATAAAAATTTGAATCATAATTTTGTAGTAGTTACCTCAATTTCAGTAACTCTTTATGATTCCACGCTAAAAAAAGAAGTTTAATTATCAAAATATATCAATATTATTTACGAAAAGATTGAACGTAGAATTTGAATAAAAATTTTCAAAAACTAAAATTGAGATGTTTAAAGCTAAAATACTACCAGAGAAAGTGGAGACAAAAGTGAAGAAAAATTAAACTCAAACTTTTTAAAAATTAAAAGAATAATGTAGATAAAAGTTAAATTTGGGGGGGGGGTAAAAAAACGACCACATTTCATGATTATTATTCCCTTTTCCAATCAATAACTTTCAAGCACGACAGGATAAAGAAATAGAAAGATTATTAATTAATTTATTTTTTAAAAAAGTTTCACAATCAGTTTCAAATTCGTACATGATGTATCTCATCTCATCTTATTTCACAAAAGGCAATCGCCTTTTTTTATTATTATTATTATTTTCCAAAAGGAAAAAAAAAAGAAGGAAAAAAAAGTTTTTTCTGGTAGGCACCTTCCTGTGGGGCCCAACCCTGCACACTTTGTCGTCGACTGTACACAACATCCCGAATGACAGTCCTCCAATAAAACACAGCCACGTCAGTGCTCTCCTTGGCGGTATCCAGAGCCCGGGCCCCACAATCCCGTTACTAAAGTCAACGCGACGCCATGATTTATCTGTCCAAAAATAATAATAATAATTAAAAGAAAAAACTCTTCAATTTAGTTACGAATTAATCGGCTTTGGAGCATTAGCTTTCCCACATCATTTCCCCCATTGACTCAACTCGACAGCTACCAGACTCCATTTCATTCCTTTTTTTTTCCTTTTCAAATAATTTATCGATCCCAATAATTTGTCAATCTCCATTGAGCCTCATGAACGTCTTCGAGACGTCTGTAATATAGAATATTTAAGATTTTGTAGTTTTTTTGTGCAGATGAAAAAGGGAGGCCGTGGCGGGGTGTATTAAAATCTATTAAAACTTATTACACATATATATATAGAACAATACATTATAATGTATACTAAGCCAAAAGAAGTATGAAAATGGGATAGTAGAAGATGAAGAGATTGAGATTGGTTTTGGTTAAACCGACAAGTGGGATAGTGGGTCTAATGATGAGGGAGAGGATGATTTAGTGAAGCCCCAAATATCGGTGTCGTGGCCGAATCCCAACCCTCTGCTTGATCGGAAATGAGAGAGTTGCAGATGATCGTGATCATGATCCTCTTCTTGATCTTCTCCCATGTTGGGGCGCTCCAATTCGTGGCAGTTCAGCTGGGAGGCGACAAGTCGGTCCAATGCCACCCAGTTGTCCAGCTTCACGACATGTCGTCCTGGGGATGGGGATGGCTCACTTAACTCCGAGAGCGAGAGCATGGCCTCGTGGTTGAACGACGCCGTTTCCTGGTGGACTGGCAGCGTTGTGGGGCTGTCCAGCCTTGGCAGGTGCATGAACGATTTTGAATTGGTGTTATTCATGTTCATGTTGTTGATCTTAAACGACTCCGTTTCGAGCTTGCATGTTCTCCCCATGTATTGGAGTATTTGGTCAAGAACCACGTCGTTGCCTGAGCTCAGCAATTGAGCCTCCGAATCTATGGAGCTTGGGGACGTCTTCGGGCTGTCCACGCTCTTCTGGTAATTCTTCTTCTTGAACACGCGGCATACCACCCACCCGTCCTCCGCCACCTCTCCCATCGAGTTGCATACCTGTAACCCATCAACTTAAACTTTTTAATTTTATTCATGACGAAGAGCGTGATGTTTTGTGTTTGAATTTAGAGAGTTACATTGTTGTCGCGGTCGCAGTCGCGGTCGCTGTCGTTGAGACGATACTCGTGCATGATCCAATCGGACTTTTGGCCATGGGGGGCTCGTCCTTTATAAAAGACTAGAGTTTTTCTCAGCCCAATTCTTCTGGATCCGGTGTAAATGATCTTATCTCGGCCGGTGGCCTTCCAGAACCCGGCCGCCGTGGCGCGATTCGTCCGGGTTCCCGTCGGATACTTCTTGTCCTTGTGGCTGAAGAAGTACCAATCGTTCTGTGGGGTGGATCCAATCTTGCACTTCTCTGCACAACACAAAATTAAAGAAAAACATAAATTAACAAAAACCCATAAATGAGAATCAGAAAAAAAAATTAAAATCACAAACCTTGAATATCCCAAGGCTCAAGCTTGTTGAGATCAACATCACGAATGACATCAAGATCAATCTTTTGGAACCCAACTTTCTTCCTGAGGTAATAATGCAGAAGCTCCTCTTCAG